ATCCAATGAAACCGTGCAGGGAAGAAGTCCAACACAAGAATTACAACCTTTCGATTTCATTCTGGAAGATGCATCGTCTGAAGAAGAAGAACTTTGCGATGCTGGACCAGTGAACATAATGATAAACGATCTGTACAAAACATCTGCAGAGAGAATACAAAAGCTGAAGGAATTGGTACCTACTGATAAACTGAACGATTTGGAAAGAGCTCAAGTGGAAAGGATCTTGGAATCTGAGCATGATATTTTCTTTCTCCCGGGTGACCCTTTGGTTGTACTAAGGATTTCAATATCGACCACCTCTAGAGCACTCCGAGGAAATTAAAACCCAGGTTCGAAAGATGCTGTCCCAAGGAATAATCGGACCTTCAGAGTCGCCATACAACTCACCATTGTGGATAGTCCCTAAAAAGGCCGACTCAAAAGGAAATAAGCGTTGGTGTCTAGTCATCGATTTTAGGGAATTAAACAAGACGATCATCGGTGATTCTTAACCTTTACCAGACATCACGGAAATCCTCGATAAACTAGGAGGAGCAAAATATTTCACTGTCTTCGACCTAGCTAACGGCTTCCATCAAATAACCATGGACCCACTGGATCGAGAAAAGACTGCTTTCACATCTCCAGATGGACACTTCGAATATCTGAAGATGCCGTTTAGATTGAAAAAGGCACCAGCAGTTTTCCAGAGGATGATGAACCACATTTTATATGGATTGACCGGGACAGAGTTATATGTGTACCTGGATGTTATCGTAGTTTACGCCCAACACCTGGACCAACACTACGAGAGAATTAATCGATTATTCAAACGACTCAAAGCACAAGGAGTGACCCTACAACCAGATAAATGCAAGTTTCTGTGCAAAGAAGTAGGATACCTTGGCCACCTGATCACTGAGAACGGGGTTAAACCTGACGCTGTGAAAATTCAATCATTAAGAAACATGCCTCTCCTCAGGAACGTGAAAGGCGTGAGAAGCTCTTTGGGTTTCGCAAATTATTACCGCAGATTTATCGACCATTACGTCGATAAAGCAAAATGCCTTACAGAACTCCTGAAGAAAACGCAAGAATGTCGATGGGAGGAGCAGGAGGACTTTGCTTTCCAGGAATTGAAAATTGCTATCTGCGAGGATGCCACAATAGCGTACCCAGATAGCTCCAAGCATTTCATCATTGCTACTGATGCATCAGACAATGGACTTGGAGCCGTCTTAAGCCAAATGGACGATAATAGCGAAGAACATCCCATCGCGTATGCATCAAGAATTAGACGCTATTAGAAGCTGAAACTCGCTACTCCGAACCCGAAAGAGACTGCCTAGCTGTTTTCTGGGCAATCAAACATTTTAAGCCATACGTTGGACGCAAGTTCATCCTGTATACTAACAGCTCAGCAATGGCTTGGCTAAGAGACACTATAACTTCAACCCTCGCCAGGTGAAGTGGAGATCACTCCTACACGAATACGAATTCACAGTGGTTCAACGGAAATTGAAACGTGAACAGTACGCAGATCCATTCTCCGAAAATCCTGTCAAACCATCAGATCCGGAAGACGAATTCTCCCCATCAGAATCAGACTCTGAGCCTGAGACTTTCAACATTCTCCCGATCACAAAACCTCCTTCTAAACCAATCTTGAAACCCGAATCGGAACTTCTCAGAAAGGTCAACCTAAGATTCCGGAAAAGAACGAGTAAATTATAAAGAGGCTAGAACATATAGGCCAAGATTGGATAGCGCACCAACTGCTACAACAACTAAAAACCCGGTAAAACTACCTCTAGTTGAGATAGAAACAGCAAAAAGGAAACGGGAGCGCCCACCATCAAAGCTGGCCACTGAAAAGCCAGAGATAATGAATGAAAGACCTACACATCAGATTCCAAAAGAAAAGGAAGTAGAGGCCCATGCGATAATTGATATGGTAGAAGCAGACGAACCTCCGAATAACCCAGAAGTAGGAGAAGATGAGGAGATCAGCCTTGGAACTGATAATGTTTTCATCAACGAGCCACCGGAATTGCAAGACAAAACTCAAGACGTTATGACCACCCTAGATGCTGACTCTTTCGATGCACGCATTGAGTCGGAGGATCAAAATAAAGAAGCCATACATGCTCCTTCACGCAAAAGTATGATCCCACGGGGAGGGCCTATAACACCAGAAGAAATGAGAGAAATAGGAAACACCGTGATGACCTATAAGGACTGGATGGAAAAACATCATCAGAAAATTCAATCTCTGGAGATTGTGAAACTATCTCCAAGAAAAGATGTAAGTCAACTCCCTGAGGATTTTCATAAATCTTTAGAGGAGTTGACAAAGAAATTCAACGAAGCTCTGGAGGAGATAAAAACGAGACCTACAGCCGAACATCGAACCCCCGCGACTGTAGAGGTAGAAACTGATGAGGATGAATCCTCAACTAACGAGGAAGTAATAACAGAAGCGCTGGTACATCTACCTCAGCATTCAACTTTTCTTCAAACAAACGATTCCAGGGTACCATTGGGTCCGTGGCCTGCAAAACATCAAATACCATTGGCAGGATCCACCCCACTCATCCTCGCTCTCGCCAGCAAAGAGAAAGCAACTCATGACTTGGGAAAAATTATGGAAACAAGAGAGTTGGAAGAGCTCCCTGTGGATCAGCCTGTGGATAATGTCGAAAAAATGACGATACATCATCACATCAGAGAAATAAGAGCGTACGATTGGAAAACTCCATCAACTCAAAGAGATATGGTCGAGAACGCATTCAAGAGAGTGAAAGCCTGGCCAACCCAGAATTCAAAATCAAACTGAAATAGCTCCCAGACGCCCGGGATAGCGGACTAGATGCACATTCCAAGGAACATGACTCGGAATCCGAAGATGAAGACTTTCCGGAGAATGACGAGCTAAAATTATTCAACACCTTCCAATCAGTCATTCCACAGGATGATGAATTGAACTTCCGAGAAAACATCATACACAGCCGCGATGGGCTAACTTACGAAAAAGATCACATTGTTCATTTTCCAGCAGCTGATTGCGGAATAAACAGTGTGTCTTCAAAACTACTTGTCGACACTTGTCGACACTATTTTAATCCAAAGAAAATCTTGAAAAACAGCCCAAAAATCGGCAGTGTTATGATCATTAAAAATAGTAACCGTAAGTGATTTCTCGTCATCGTAAAAAACAATTTTTATGACCAAGTACGACTTAAGGACGTATTTGCATAACCTGGATTATGCCTTAAAAACACGCCAAGTTGACACATTCCGAGTATCCGGTAACAACAACGAGCTCAAAGGAAATATTTCATTAGTCAACGAACGAGTCAGAGAATTCAAAGGAATTAGCACCAAAATAATCCTCTGCGAAGGCGACATTGAAATTCCATCAACAGCTCTGATTCCCGAGATAATGAACGAAGGTCACGATTCACACATGGCAGGCCACAAACGAGTCGTCAAAACATACCTCCCCATTAGAGAAAAATTCTACTGGCCAGGAATGAAATCAGACATCAAGCACTACATCGGCACACGGAAATGTCACGTTTGCCAAATTGAAAAACTCAGAAGGATCAAAGTCAAACAGCCCATGCAGATAACGGACACTCCATTAGAACCGTCTGAGAAAATATCAATTGACGTTGTAGGACCACTTCCCCCAACCCCTTCGTGCAATTCAGTAATCTTAACCATTCAAGACAATTTTTCAAAATTATGAGTCGCCATACCAATGCCCCATCAGAGAGCTATCACGGTCGCTGAAGCAATCGCTAAAAACTTTATAGCTATTTATGGATGCCCTAAGGTCATGCTAACAGATAGGGGTACTAATTTCCAAAGTAAGATATTAAATCATTGGGCAAGAATTTTTAAACTTAATCATGTAACAACCTCGGGATATAGACCAGAGTCAAACGGTTCTTTAGAGCGGAGTCATCATTCTCTAGTAGAATACTTGAAAGTGTTCTGCAAGGAATATAATGACTCCGATGCCCTATTGCCTTTTGCCATGTTCTCATACAATACAGTGCACATAGCGCTACGAAATATACACCTTACGAACTTGCATATGGTAAACGCGCCCGCATGCCCACGGCCGTGAGTGAATCACAGGACATCGAAACGTACCAAGATTATTTAATCGATTTTATTGGAAGATTGGAGGCAACTCAAATCAAAGCCGCTAGAAATCTTATTAACGCCAAGCACAAATCCAAGAAGAATTACGACAAAAACGCAAAGTTTGTAGAACTTAAAGCTGGGGATTTTGTCTATGTGCAAAAAGAACCGCCAATCAACAAACTCGATGCTCACTACACTGGGCCCTATGAAGTGATAGCCCTGACACCACTAGGAAATGTGGTAATAGAATTAGACAATGGATTAAGGTGCAAAAAACATCCAAACAAATTGAAAAAGTGTCACGAGTAATTGTCATACTCTTTCAATTTGCACTATCCTAAAAATCGCCTCATAATTACTAACACTTGTTACGAATTCTCACTGGATCGGATAACAAAAAAAAAGGAATTTAGAATTTAATTTTTCGAATGATGGAATTTTTTGATTCATTAAAGTGCACTATCATGGTACGAATTTTCGATTTTTTTGGGAAGCATAAGGTAAGCGAAATTCGTCGAGCGGTAGCCGAAAATCACTAAGCTTGCCGAAACTAGGTTAACACAATTCGCACGCGCACTATCGCACTTTCCGAACTTTTCGCGAGAACCGAACAATTTAGTTTCAAAAGGACTCTAATTTTTGGAGTATCAACCGACCTCCGGGGTAGAGAAAATAATGGTTGTTATCACTAGACTCACCTTTTAATTTTTCCTGACCGTTCCGGTGGCGACTCGACTATGGCACAGCGGATCAGTGGTATCTCTAGAGTGATGGGCGATCTGGATAGTTAGAACACTCCCGCCTTTCCCTGGAAAGCTGGATAAAGTCTTTCTGTTGCACACACACACGTTCAGTTTCTTTTCCCTTATATTGTTTAAAGTTGCAGGTTCAGTGCATTCACTTCAAGTAGCTAAATAATATATTCTAGTGTTAATACGTTGCTCACGTAAACCTGTCAATTTATTTATCAGATAGTTTTTTGAATTTAGACGTCGGGTGCATCGTCAAAAACCCGAGCGATATTTTTTTTTT